GTTCGTGCTATTTCATTCGAAAATTAGAGGTGAAGTGATTAAATTCATCCATTGCCAATAACAGATTATCCCATGTTAATAAATTATCTATTTCCCCTTCTAAACAGCGATTCAATTCCTAAGTAATCAACTCTTCATTTACGTCGATGAAACATTGATTTTTTTTTTTAAATCTTATTTAAATAAACCAATTGTTTTGATGAATAGACGAGACCAATCCGGATAATTAATCAAGAACTACTGGAAAGGATAATAAAAATTGGGAGTAGTTGAGCTTTTTTTTTCACTTTAGTTGCTTCCAATCAAGAACAACAGAAGAGAGCACTAAAAATAATCCATTGACCAGTCGATTTTACTCTCGAAAATGAACGCGCAACAATGAGCGGGTCACAAGCGAGAGACCCGTGCATTTTTATTGTTGGAGAGTAGTGCCCCCCCCCCTCCCCCCGCGGTGTTTGTACCCCGATTACGTGGAATATCTTTGTTTGCCACTGCTCAACCAACATGACAACGCGTTGGAATTGCGAGGAGAATGGATTCCTATGTGAAAATCAGTTTAGAATTGAGAAGAAAGGAGGAACTCCTGTCTCCATATTTTATCGTGAATTTAATCGGGTTGAGTTATATCTGGATAATTAATCGCATTCCGTGGGAATGAAAAATTCAATATTCACTCTACAATGATGATTAAAATGACGGGGACATCGTAGAATGAATCAACTTCGGTGGAAATAATTTTTTTAGAGAACAAACGTCTTTGGAAAAATCAAATCTGTCTAATTTTATTAACGAGATTTCTATGATTGATTTTATGTGGTTCATCACGTTATTGTGAGTTTATTTGACTGAATGTTATTTTACGCATATTTTAATAATCATATTTTAATCATATTTTGATAATCGCGGATTATTGCAACTAGAATCGTATTATTTTGGACAATAAATAATTGCTTCACCTCATGAAATAGTCAAATTGCTCCATAAGGTATCTAGAACAAAGTCCATTCATTAATAAGTGTTGGTGATTATTGGTTATCAGGTTTTGATTTTTTTTTTTGAAGGTATTCATAGTTACGTTTATTTAAAATTTATTTTTCTCGAAGGAAATGTTTGTTTCGAAGACGTAATCATCAATTTTTTATCAATCAATAATTGAAACATTCCAAGGGGGTTGAAATATATTTATATTTATATATATATATTTTTAAAAATATTTATTTCCAAAGGAAATCGAAAAAAGATTTGTACAATCTAGGATCCTATGCAAAGATTATCCTTGTTCTCAAACTTGAGGATATCCCTGGCGAGATAGATTGCGGACACAAAAGGTGACATCAATTTTCTTAAAGAGAACTAGGGAGAAATTCGTGGGAAATGATGAAAACTTCTTTTGAAAATCCGAAAAAAAATTTCGGTTCAAGTCGACTTATCTCCCAGTTGAGTTTTTGAGCAATATTTCCGAATCTAATGGAGCTAGCGAAATTTTCGTAATTACATTTGTTGTAGCACTCAATCGGCTCTACAAAAAAGGTTATAACAAAAATTTTGCCATCTCCCTCAGATTCCGAGATATTCATTGAAAGCTGGACAATAGTCAAAATTGACTTGTACCGTTTTACCACTGCGCTACTGATTTTATAAAAAAAATCTGGCGATTTATTTTTCCGCCAAAAAAGCCCTCGGAATTCCTCTCGTGTCCTGACAATCATCGATCGTGGGCACGTAACGCCTTAACGAAAATTAATGTTCGTGCCAAGATCAACTTGGCGGAACACGAGGGACAAAAAATCCTGAAGCCCTCTCCCGAGTTCTTAAATCACCCGGGGGCTTTGGGATGCAGAGGCGTGTGCGCCACCGAATTGAACGGGTTTGTAAATCAAACTGTTGATGTAGTACGTTCACGACAATTGAACGAGACAGGGCGTGAGGGAGTCGAGTGCATTGAGATATCCACGTCTGGACTACCAGCGATTATTGCACTGGACATTGAATGCACTTGCTGGGCACCCCATGGAGGTGTGCATCCACTAATTGAGGAGTCTGTTAACGGGTTTCAATCTCAATCTGTGTCGTAGCTAACGCCATTGTTGGGATAGAATTGGCGGTGGAGACTTCGTCGATGACGATTCGCAAGTGAGGAGAAACATTCGGTGAGAATTATTTTATTACTTTATCGGTGAAATAAAATTAGTGAGTGATGAGGAAATTTCATCGCAGAAAACGTCTCAAAGGAATAGCCAATGAATAGTTTACGGCAGGGAATAGATTTACTCATTGAAAATTAATAAATTCGATGGAGGAAATTTGAAGTTTTCCACGAACTTGAGTTTTTTTTCATGAACATTAGAATTTGGAGCAAAACATAATTTAGTGTTTTATACTTCAGGAAAGAAGTGAATTCGGAACGCTCATTTTTCCTGACTCTCGATCAATGATTATCGATGATTTGGCCCTCCATATCTCTAGTATCGCAGGAGATATTTCCTCTCGTGAAATACATCTCATCGGGCAGATTTTTCCATGTTCCACTGCAATGACAGCGAGTGGTGAAACATTTCACCCCATTTTTCCTTATGAATTCAGTAGCGAAGCGGTAAAACGGTTTAAGTCGATTTTGACTATTTGCCAGTTTTCAATGAATATCTCAGAATGTAAGGGAGGTGGCAAAATTTTTGTCATAACCTTTTCTATAGCACGCAATTCGCTCTACAAAAAAGGTCATTACAAAAATTTCATTATCTCCCTTGAATTCGTAGATATTCCTCAAAAACTCAGATGAGAGCTAAGTCAACTTAAACCGTTTTACCGCTTCGCTACTTAATTGAAAGTTGAACTACACGGAGAGAAATATTCAATAAAAATTACGTATCTTCTCCGTAATTCCGGAGCGAAATGTGGTTGTACGAAATTTTACGGAACTGTCACGGAATTTTTCCGGGGCGTTCCGTAATTTTTATCTGAATCTCCTGTAAAAAATTACGATACTGTCACTTAAATTTTCTGAGTCAATTCCGTAATCAGTTCCGTAATTTTTACTAAACATTTCTCTCCGTGTAATCTATTATGTCAACACTCTGTCCTTCTGTTATCATGTTTCGAGCTAAATTATGCTGCTCTCCACGCCTTATTTCCCTCATTATTTAGACTCTCAGCTGAACAATCGCCGTAATTAAATATCCCATGCAAAACTCGGGGCTTTAAAACTTTAATGACTTCAGCTGTTAATTTGACGTTTCGAACGTGCTCCCCTTGATTTGACAGTGAAATGGGATTAAACTTCCCTAACTAGCCAGGAAAGCCTTGAATTTCGCCTGGAAAATTTCCCTGTCCCTCATTACGCTCCAAATGCCCATCAAAATTTCTCCCGCATGTCCGAAACAGGCGATCACCAATTTTAATAAAAAAATTTAAAGCTCTCCCTCTCGATTTTACCATCGATCCCATCACAATTACGTGATGATCACAGTGCGTGGGATATTTTCCCTCACCCCCATTGTCTCTCTATCACATGCCAGCTGTATGCATGTAACATGTGATTCCCAACGCAGCGAGATTCGCCTCTCGAAAAATTTTTCACTCTCTCAAAACGGAAAAAAATCGTAACGAAAATAGGTCACCTAGGTGTTGTTTGTTTGTTACACAATTACCGGAGATTATTCCGTGTCATTGTATGATGCATTACGTGAGATTATCCAAGCTCTCCGGGAAAATTTGTCAACTCTACTTTTTTTTCAACTCGCCAACGCGTTATTCACAGCTGCGTGCGTGTATTTCTTTATTTATTTTTATTTTTATTTGCTGTTCATTAATAATTGAATTATTCGTGCAGAAAAGTCTTGATTCTCAGTCAATGTCTCAAAATCGGAGGGAAAGTTCAGATTTCAAAACGTTGTTTTCTCAAAAAATGAGATTTTTCAATTATTTTATGATTAAAAATGTTTCCCGCATTTTGTAAATGAAGAATTCAATTTAACGGAATTTTCCTGACTTCTACTAATTTTCTCGCTGATCATTCCATGAAATTCAGAATGTTCAATGACGGAATTCCCTGCACGGAGAGAAATATTCAGTAAAAATTACGGAACAATTCACGTAATCCGCAGTGGGGAATCATTTTCCGGCTATTTTTATAGGAATGGAAGAGAAGAAATGTGAAACGTTCAGTGAATTTTCAGGTTCTTCACAAAGTACGAAATTGTCACGTAATTTTTCCCGAAGAAGTCAAATCTTACAGAAACTTGCCGACTTATTATGCCTCCAAAATAAAAAATTATTGAACGTTCAACAATTTTTATGAAACTGGCGAATTATTTCTACGTTCCGTTCCGTAAAATGTCTCAATCGTTGGGGAAAAATTACGGAACGACTTGTTGTTCCCCCGAACAGCAGTGATTCATCAGACATGTGGTTAATTTTTACGGAACAAATGGTAGAATTTACGTGGCGATTCGTACAATTTCAGTTCCGACTCGCACTTTTTATTGAATTTTACTTCGCTCGCAGATTGCGTTTCAAAACTTAATTTTCGCGTTTTTTTCTGGTAATTTTTATTGAATTCTTCTCTCCATGTGAAATTTTCAAAAAATGTGCCGGAAATGTCAGCGAAAAATTTTAAACACCAGCTCCGACGTTCCTACCGCGAAAAATGCCGAGATTATCAAAACTCCCCGGAAAAATTATTCAATCTCCCATTTCTCCCGAACTCGTTAACGCGTTATTCATGTCCATGCGTCTACTTTACGATCCTGCGTACGACACAAAGGAGGTACAGAACACCGCGTACACCTCTCGTTATGACCGTCGAAACGAGCGTGCGGTGCGCATTCCGCTTCCGCATGAGGCTGTAATAAAAAAAAATAACCGCGGAAACCGGATGATAAAATTTTTAACGATTTTTTGTGTAAACTCAGAAGCCAACCGCAGACTCGTTAATTATCTCCGAGATTACTAATTGATAATTCCAACGGAGATGCGCCTTTCTAAAATAAACGTGTACATACCGATTTAATCCCCTAGCGTTCGATAAAATCGCCGAGTGAAGTCTCGTGCATTGATTCCCTCCGGCGTAACTCCTCTTTTGTTAATAAATAATGAGTGATTATTTTCTCTGGGAACAATAAACTGTTTATCAGTGGTGAAGGTGCCCTTTTGTCGCGGCGCACAGGGGACACGTTACGTAGGAGTCGCGGCGAGATACTGACGGGTCGCCGGTGCCGCATGGAAACCTCATGCCGCCTCGACGTGGTTTACCCTCCCTCCACTGTTCACGCTCCCACAACCCTCTCACCCTCATCGCGACGCAACTATTCTACACTCTCTATTGCGCTTCCCTACCTTCCTGTCTTCCCCACTGCGCACCTCACTTCCCGTCGCTCATCTCCACGCGCCGAAAATGCTCAATCACTTGGCACTTCATTTTTCCTTTTCGGAGGTGCATTATGCAGTCGGTTTGCTGAAGAGAGCCAATTAACGGCTTTCGTCAGCCGACAATGCACGGAGAGAAAAATTCAATAACAATTACCAGAAAAGAAACGGAAAAATTACGTTTCGAAATGAAATCCACGAGCGAAGGAAAATTCAATAAAAAGCGGAAGTCGGAACTGAAATTGTACGAATCGCCACGTGAATTCTACGATTTGTTCTGTAAAAATTAATCACTAGTCTGATGACTCACCGCTGTGGGGACAACAAGTCGTTCCGTAATTTTTTCCCAATGATTGAGAAATTTTATGGAACCGAACGTAGAAATAACTCACCAGATTCATAAAAATTGTTGAACGTTCAAGAATCTTTTATTTTAAAGGCACAATAAGTCGGCAAGTTTCTGTAAGATTTTACTTCTTCGGGAAAAATTACGTGACAATTTCGTACTTTATTCGGTGATGAACCTGAAAATTCACTGAACGTCTCAGATTTCTTCTCTTCTATTCCCATAAAAATTTCCGGAAAACGATTCCCCGTTGCGGATTACGTGAATTGTTCCGTAATTTTTACTGAATATTTCCGTCCGTGAAATTTCACTTTTTGTAAATTTTCGTGACATTTTGGTTTCACTGACATTTCACGGAATTTCATCAATTCTAACCATCCGAAGAATCTACAGTTTCAAAGAGTAATAACAATCCCCAGGGTAATGATAGTAATAATACTCCTTCGTTTATTCAACGAAGATGAATTTTTCTAACACTCAACACAATACCTCTCCTAACCGTCAATTACTGCCACATTGTTTCCGACCAAAGCCGTTAATTGAATCTCTTCAGCATGCCGAATGCATAATCCACCTCCGGAAATTAAAAAAATCAACGGCCAAGTGATTGAGCATTTGCGGTGCGCGGCGAGGAGATTTCCAAATGTCGTTTTCTCAAAAAATGCAATTTTTTTATTATTTCACGGAGAATTAAATGGAATTTTCGACGTTCAATTCGGTAGCCTATGCTGTTCGAAAAAAAATTGCAATTTCAGTGGCAGTCGAATAGTAATTCCCAGGAGAGAACCATTCAACGCCGAATTGCCATGAATTTTCAATGTTTTGTCAATTCAAAAATATATTCATCGCAATTTTCAGTTCTCACAGGTTTTTCCGGAAACTTCGAATTTTCTTTAATTTACGAGACTCCTTAAAATTCCAGTCGAGCTAAATCGTAATGAAAATTTCAGAAAAAATTGAAAAAAAAAATCAACGGCCAAGTGATTGAGTACTTGCGCTGCGCGGCAATGAAATTTCCAAATGTTTTCTCAAAAAAAGCAATTTTTTCCTTATTTCACGATTTAAAATGTTTCTCACACGTTTAAAACGTAAAATTAAATTTATATATCTTCGATGTTCAAATCCTGAAATAATTGTGAAATGATCGGTAGCCTATGCTGTTCGAAAAAAATTGAAATTTCAGTGGCAGTCTAGTAATTTCCAAGAGAGTGTCATTCAACGCCGAATCGCGATGAATAGTGATTTTTTGTAAATTCAAAAATATATTCATCGCATTCCCAGTTCTCCCAGATTTTTCCCTGAAATTTCGAATGTTCGTGATGAAATTTCCAAATGGTAATGAAAATTTCGCAAAATGTATCGGAAATTTCAGCGAAAAATTCCCCAATTCCCATCCGATCAAACCCCATCAAAGTGACACCGCCACCACTCCATTCCCCCCGGCTAGATAGACCGCTGCCTTCGGCCTCACGTACCGCGCGGATTGACTCACTCACTTTCATCAGCGATATTAGCAGCTCTCCACGCTGCTCCAATCCCGTTGCGGTTGTCCCAAGCGCTCTCCCCGCTGCTGCCACCTACTCATCTGAGCCGGGAATCCCCGATTCATAAGCGCACGGAGGTCATCGAGCCACGAGTGAGAGTGATCTTTAGCCAGCGGCAGTTTACGGATCTCCTCTTTATGCTCCTCTGCGACTCAGAAAACCTAACGTATTCCCTAGTTATTTATTTTTCATCTTCCCGTGATTTTTCTCGCTCCACCTGGGAGTCACGTTCCCCCCGACAATCACGATTCACGGCCATCGATCAGTCCCCACTTCCGAGGCCACTCATATTGTTTGCATACAAAGGAATGAGAATAATAAAATACTCGAATGGAGAGCAAACTCTTTTGGAGAGATTCGCGAGCGCTTGAGGGGGCGATTCGAGTCCCTCTTTCACCTCTTTATCCTCCGCGAGGGCAAACAAATGTGCCCCGGGTCAATTTCTCCTCAGAATAGAATATTAAAAATTTCGAAATAAATCAACAGACCCGGGGATACTGAGAATTGAGTGGGTGACTATCTCCTCAGCACTACGAAATATTCATCGATTCCCGAATGAGTAAATTAACTTGGCCACGTACGGCATATCGCTACAATTACGAAATTCCAGACGTTAAAAATCCAATGTTGTCTCATCTGGGTCGCGATTAAATGTTGCAAATCATTTTGTCGAGTTAATTACTCAGAGAGATGGAGGAACTTGAGGGGAAAAATAAATGAATCAATTAGGGGAGTCGGGTTTCAGAGGAATGTTGTCATTTTGTTTGCTGTATTGTTTTATTCATGTTTCTCATCAATTCTTATCAATTCTCGTTTCGGAAAAATGTGTGGAACAACAATTACGAGCCAGTTTTTTGGAATTCGACTCCTCACAGCTGATTTCGGTTTTTTTTTCATACAAAAAAATTCACTATTTGTGTAAAAAAATATAAAAGAAGCAAATTTAGCCATGTAAGAGGCGAATTGAAAAAAAAATAGATCGTGATTGTTATTCCACATATTTTTCCGTAAATTTTGAAAAAAAAAAATCCTTCGTAGCTCAAAAATTGGAGGCCCTGGACTGTTTTTGGCATTTTAAGCGTTTTCGGGCAAGCGAACAATAAACAAATTTTTTTTGCACTAATTATTCATTTTTACATCTACATAATCAATCTTCAATGTATGAAAAGTCTCACTCCAACAACCCACGACTTTTAAAACTCACAGTAGTCTCCCCTTAAGTTATTTGAGAATCGACTGGTATCTGGATGGATCTGGTGCTCGCAAAACGATGAAATATGGTGTATGAAATGTTGGAGACCATAAATTTGTGAATTTTGTACACGATCACATGTACAAGCTTGGGTTTCCCCCTTGCTCTGGGAGTTTTTCTCCTGTCAATCAATAAATAAATCCAATAACAAATAATAATAATGTCCTCATTATGAGAAAATTGAGGGTCCGCTCTGATACTGAAGCATCTCCTCTTTGTGATGCTAAATCTCGAGAGTGAGCGAGTGGTTCATCGATAATGAAGTGACTCGGATAAAATCGAGAGTAATTTTGCGTGTGGGGAAATAGCCGTTGATCAATCCGACTAGAATGGAAGCCTCAAAGAGAATGTTTAATCACTTGGGTTCAGCGGGAGACAAGAGGGAATTTTGCCCCAAGTTTGCATGCTCGGTGGATCGCTTAACCGAGTAATTACGATGAAAATCTAACAAGTGAGCCCATCAGACGCTGTTGCCCTCAAAAACACGCGGGTTTATAATGGAAAAATGAATTGCTCCAGCAAATGGAACCTGGATGACGCTTAATTAAACACCTTTTGCAGGTCTGTAACAGCGATCTTCCTGGTGCCTAATTTATGTTCCACTTTATGTCCTTGTGATGGGAGAGATTGACGCCCGAGATTGGAGGAGGGCTCGCCTACATCCGTGATTGCGTTGTGAAAAAAAAAACGGCACGAGGGAAATGAGAAAAATGTAACGACTCGAACAAAATTCACGGATTCCGAGAGAAGTCATTAAATTCGGAGGGGAACAATTGGAATGGTACTTGTACTATTTTTTTATCGCTAGGGGATCGCGAGGGCTATTGGAGAGGGGATAAATGGAGGCTTTTATTGAAGGGCTCGTATCTGTAATATCCGGAAATTTGCCAAGGGGAATACGGCACACCCAGAGAAATGACGCGTTTCGATTGAGTAAAATTTTTTATTTGACATTTTTCTATTTTTCGCAATAATATTACTGCTGTTAATTAAGAAAATCATGTGTTTACTCATTATTCATTTATTCAATAATTTTTTTTCATTTTATGAATTAAATAATAATTTAATAATTAAGTGGTAATTAATAATTAAGTAATTTTTAGAGTCTTCTAGTAGGTGAATTATCAATTTGAACATAAATTTATTCATTTCTGCCGAGACTATTGCGATTAATTTTTTTTAACGTTAGAAAAGTTAGTTTAATATGTTCCTGGTGCATAATATGTTAGTTTAATATGTCCAGAAATTTCGTGGGGGACAAGGATGTTTGTCTCGACTATAACGATATAGAATATTCGAGACGAGTTATGGAAATTTCGGAATAATAATTCATTGTGGCTCGCGCCATAAAAAAACGATTTACCGACAATTTACCGATCTCCTGAATTTTTATGGGGATTTTAAAATTTCCATATTTCATCAATTTTTTTGATAAAGCGCGAGGAAAATTCTGTTCTGTGCATTTCACCGTTGATTCCCGAATAGACTAGGATCAATATCAACATCAATAATTACAGAAACCAATTTTTCCACAAAAATTTCCGAACTTTATTCTCCGTTAGGAGTTCCCTTTCATTCGTTATCGATTCAGTTGTACTGATGACTTGAAAAAATAATCAACTTCACATCTGCTAATAAACTCATCAGCTTCGCACTCGCGAAAGGGCATTC